TTCGCCGGGTTTGTAGCGCAGGTCGCGAACCACGACAGACAACGACACACGCAGAACCACGAGCAATCACACCTCTGCAGACTGGCGTGGCTCGGCTGCTGTTGTCCCCCCAGTAGTGGCGGTATTTATACACCGCACTGGGGACTCGTTTAAAGGCTGAGTCAACCTAGACGAGGTCCAGGACCAATGCTGATGTCACTCGCCACTGATGTGAGCCGTGGTCGGGAAATATTACAGCGCTCACCACTAAAATACCGCTCCACACGCACATGGACACAGAAACAATTGACACACAGATACAGATAAAGATCCACCGTGTAGCCTGTAACAGACTGTAGGGGCAAGTGCTGTTAGCGAGCACCTATGAAGGCCAGAACGGTACACGAGGGGGTGGATGGCCAGCACCACGCCCGACCGCCTTTGTCTCCCCAGTGGCGATGTTTACTACACACCGCACCAGGTACTCATTTGAGGCTGAGTCGACCTAGGGGATGCCCAGAACCGGTTCAGATAATCGTCACTGGGAGTTAGCCGTGAGCGGGAATCGAACCCGGGTCGCCAGGTTCGTAGCGTAGCGCTAACCACTACACCACCGCTCCCCGCACACATACATACACACGTGCTCACGCACACCAAAAACATACATACACAACAACTTACATTTGCCAGTGAGTCGCGGTGATGTCACCACTGCACTTGTGCCAGGCTAGGTTCACTTTTAAGCCATGTGAAGTGTCGAAGGCAGGATAACATTTTACTGGCCTTGCTATCTTTCTGTGCTTTAGCCGCCCGGGGCTCTGCCCATTGTTGTGAGCGTCGCTCTTCCACTCGCTGTTGTTATTAGAGAGCGGCTGCCTCCTGCTGCGCAGTAAAGGCTTTCATGTACCTCCTCCACGAAGGCCAATCTTGACACCACTGGTACCAATCGTCTAAAAGTTGATTCAATTCCAGATCCTGTATCACGTCAACTCATCTCTTCTCTAAGCTGTGCCATGCTCATTTCGCTCCCTTTATCCAGCCAAACAAAAGCTGCTAAGGCATGTGGTGGCTGGGCATGCGCACTACATCACCCAGCCAAATGTATTCTCCACTGCCAGAGGAGCTCACCAGTGAGGATCAACCCAGGATGGATCATAGGCAGACTATCCTGCATGTTTCAAGCCAGCAAAGAGTTCCTGGTAAGGGTTCCCAGGTTTCACAAGTGTACAGTGAGGAAATCGTTGTTGCCGAGAAGAACTGGAGCCTTCTTTTTTGTGGCACGGCAGACCAGGCAGCTTCTTCGCAGAATTATGCGGCTGACGAAAAGTGAAAACTGTTCGGACTGACTTGGCGTGGGACCTCTCTGCTGTCAAATCGGAATAGGTCATACGCACACTGCCACGTGATCTCCTGTACACTCTCTGCAACCGCTCCATTACTCACACACTTGTTGCAATCGGTGCATTGCTCCTTTTATAAAGGGTGGGGCACCAGGGCATCCTTCCAATCCTCAAGAACCTGACCAGCGGTGGAAGTTGTAAGGCAGCTTGAACATCGTCGCCTTCATACCTCACGAATGTTCTCGGGAGATCATCTCCGCTCAGATGCATTACCTCCGTGGACTTTTGGGACTGTGCATTTTAGGCAGCACCTCATAAGGCTGACACATCATGCCAGTAACAAAATATACTAATAGACAAAAAGGGGAAAAACCCGATGAGTATATGTTGGTACTGGCAAAGGAGGTCCCATGACGTAGCTGCTCACCCCGAGCTCTCATTACTCTGGTAGTGCGTAGTCTTGGAACTGTGCACCTTTTGGCGTCATCTGGTCGAACACCATATGAGACTAGGCTCTAAAGAAAGCTGTCTCTGGTGTGGACCAATCCGTTTCAAGGACAATGCATACATTATCAGAGTATTGTTTTTGTTTGCATTTGACTGCGAGTATTGTGGTTAATATAAGCATGATTCCTTGCAAAAGGTGTCAGTTTTGTTGCCAGAAAAAAGGGGGTTTACCCCACCGCATCAGGCAGTTATTTAAGACTGAGTCGCCCTAGGGGAGGCTCCGGACCGGATCAGATGTCACTCGCCCCGAGTGCGAGATGCAGCAGAGAATTCAACTGGGGGGATCAGAGGGTTCATAGCACAATGCACTGACCCCTGTACCACGACTCCCAACACACGATCAGACAAAGACACCGCAGTAAAACAACTGTGCAGTTTCAGTTTGGAACATTGCATGAATGTGCCAAAATGTTTGCATGGATGCCATTTTAACATCCTCTTTGTAACATATGCTATAGTGCCAAACAAAGCATAGTTTGAAGTCTTTAACTTGTCTGGTAAAATTTCGATTTAGAGCTTTCGTGACTGCAGGGATTCATCTTCTTGGTTCTTTCGGAAAAGTCATCACGTAGAAGGGAAATAATGAAATAATAAAAATACAACATAATAAAATAATTCTCACAACGCAAGCAGCCGTCCTCATGTGAAGAACAGGGCTGTCGAGAAGACAGAGT